AAATAAAATTTTAAAACCGAAAAACAGAGGAATTGACACGTATTAAAAATCCTGATGTGTCATTATGAAAGTGATTTTAGGATTCTCTCTCTAATTTCTGTTTTATAAGATAATAAAAAATTATAAATAAAATAATATAAATTTTCTTATATATAAATCGTAAAATTTTATATATTTGACTATAAAATGATGAATATAAATACAATATAAATTTTATTAGTTATAAATTATAGTTTTTTATATATTTTATTATATATATATATATCTAATATATTATGTATTTTTGTAAATTACTTAGACCGTCTATTAAATCGTCTAGGCTCCGATTAGACGTTCTAGGCACTAGATATTGTGTCACCGCTTTGAACATTGCTTATTCCTAAGAAATTAGGGGGTGCAACTCTATCTAATGTTTTTCCCTAAAAAAATTCGGTCCATATTCAACCTAATACACTTAAACTAAAAATTAGCTCCATTATATTCTATTAATTTCATTATGTTCAATTTAATAAATTTGTATATATAAAATTGTGTGTCCATTCATAATCGTCATAACATTTTCTTTTTTTTTTGTAATAATATAATCGTCACTGTTGGACCACATGATATGATGCAATGACTTTGTTTTTACATAGCAACAATCTTTGGCCTCATTTACCTATTTCGTATTATGATATGTCCTTTGAATTGTTTCCATATATAAAACGGAGATTTCTGAAATCTCAAACAAATGATTTTCTTTCTGTCAAATATCTCAATAAAGTTATTTCTGTTGTTAACTTCAAATTTTATTATTAACTTTTCAGTAAGGCAAAACAGACCGGAAATTATAATCTACAACCAAAGTAAAACCATAAAAAAACTAACAAAGGCAGCCAAACAATATGTATTTACAGTTAAAGAGTTGGGAGTAAAAGAAAGAACAAAATATGTAAACTAACAAAGTTGGGTGCGTGGGTACACGCGCGGCGATTTTTTCTCCCTAACTCCGCCAGAGGTTTTCTCTCATCGTCGATCTCCTCGCCTCTCTGGTGTCTAGTTGTGACCGGCGCCACGAGAGGACAACTCCGATTTAGCTTTCTTTTGATTCACGGTGATTGACTTTTTGGATCTGCTAGTTTTGTTCTATTATCTCACGACGTTTGGATTGAAAATTCGCCGAGTGTGATGGCCGCGTCTCCGATGCTAGGGTTCTTTTCCGCCGTGGTTTCCTTTCTTGGTGATGGCGATAGATGACATCAAAGATCGGCTGCTTCCCTGCGCTTATGTCACACTTTTTGCCCGGCGTAGATATACTTTGTAGATTCTTTCTTTCCAAAGAACTTCTGGCGACGATGCCAGCTTTCACCCGGCAATGGTACGGCGCTTGTTGTGGTTATCGCTTCCCCGTTCTTTGCGGATTTCGATATCTCCATGTTCCGTTTGGAGGTTTGTCGCGCCTCGCCCTTCGTCCGGTGGTTAGGGTTTCTTTAATCGGCGATCACTTCTGATTGAGGCATGTTGTAGTTGGAGAAAAGACCGATTCATACCCGCACTGTTGTACACGGTCCCGATACGGACATGTACTCGTGACCTGTGCGAATACATACCTACACAATTGTATTTGTGCTATTTCATACCTAAACAATTGTATTTGTGCTATTTCATACTTTGACTAATACTCCGTTAG